ACAACCAGATCTACTTCACGCAAGCACTGAGTTGTGGCTCCCAACACAAGTGCTAATTTCAACAGATCTTTCTTGGAGCAGTGGAAATGAAATGGTAATAAGTTAATGGATGCTTGAGTATTTAAGCGTGGACAATTATGAGCCAGGCTGTTTGTAAGTCACCTGGGATGCTGTTTATAGCCCATACTTCACAGTCCAGATCATTACTGGCGAGTCGTCTATCTCAAAGCTGACTGGAGCTTTGAAATATTCAATCTATAAACTTCACATTTCCAGGAAAACATGTGCAACAATGCTTGTGTTCACACATTCCTGTCAGGTAGACGACAGGATGCAATCTGAGCACAAAAACCTGCAATTAAGCAAAAGAATGGCACTGTACACACCAAGCTTTTGCGCCCTAATCTGATAACTGCCGGCATGAATTACCTCCCGGGGCTAAGAGAAACGCTGCATGGCATCCAGATTCACATTTCAAAGCTTGAGAAAGAAAAGAAAAGAAAGAAAATAGATCTAAGCCAGTGTAACAGAGAGGACTTTCTGTTTTCAACTTAGACTACATTAATAAGACAAAGCTGCCTTCAACTCTGACATGCGAAGACAGCAAATTAACTGTTTGGATCCAGTAAATCAGAAGAATAAACATGCAATTTTTTTTTATCTTCTCAGATACGTAAAACCCATAATCATCTATTCAAATTTCTCAGTATAACTTACCCTCAGTGCTTTCAAAGCATCATTTGCCTTTCCAAGATGTTTTTCTGTGTCAACAGTCATTTTCTGTGCAGTGTGCTGCTTTCACTTCCTCCCCTTCTGCTGGGGAAATGCAGATGCCACCTGACATGTCTTGACAACCACCCATCCCACTCAGCCCTCCGGGACTGCACCTCTGCCTTTTATACCAGGCCATACAGTTGTGGAAAGAAATATGCTTTCAGTGGATATCACCCTAGGAGAAGCCCAGATGTTATTAGGAAACACCCAAGTGGACAGGACCTTCAGGCGGGAAGAATCAACACATATAGACTAACTGGGATGCTGACCTAATGTCTCCTCTTCTACTGGAGTTCTAACTACAGCCATCAATCTTAAGAGGATGCTGTGAAGAGGCCCACACTCTAAAGAGGACCACTGTAAGATGGTGACATTGAACCCTGTTGGCTACCTCATCTCCTGTGCTACAGGAGAGATGGGTAGCCTTTCTCCTCTCACAGGGGAGAAGCTGGAGGAAATGAGATCGTGGTTCCCTGCAAGGCACAGGTCACAGATTCTGGAATGGGAATCTCATGGTTAAAGCCAGAGGACAAGGTAAAGAAAGGAACTTCCAGCATTAGGGCACGTGGCAGCCACAGGCTTTAGGCACTAAATAATGGCCATGCTAGTTATGGAGTCTACCTCTCCCCTTCTGACCCTCTTCCCATTTGTGTGAACTCTTCATTGCCTGTGTGACCTATGTGCTTACAAGCTGCGGGAACTAAGGCTTGGATGTCCTTGGGAGACCATTAAGCTGTTGGTTTGCCCCATGCTCCCTGGGCCACGCACACAGGTCTTGTTACTACAGAATGCTTTCCTCTGCCACTCTGTGTTTACTAAAATAAAATTTCTCTAGGCAAAAAAAAAAAAAAAAAAAAAAATTTAAAAATCCAAAGTCAACCTCTGTGTCAGGCAAGAGCATCAGCTGATGTACTGCAACTCTCCAACTGTCCATGTCTTGGCCTAATGCTCCATGTATTTCATAAGTTTGCAAATAGGCAAAGAGATTAATAGGCCAAGTTCAACAGAGACCTCTCTACTGACCTTGAATCTGATATATGTAACTATCTAGTCATGGCTGTGCTTGTCCAAACATAACTTGTCCAAAAAGAATTGAAGACAATACTACCATCTTAGAATGTACACGTGCATGCGAACACACACACACAAGCACATACACACACACACACACACAAACACACACGCACGCATGCTCACAAAAGCACACATGCAAACCTGCTTCTCCTAAAATTTTCTCTCCACTTCAGACCAGCTGATCAGGCCTTAGATCTTAAGATCTGTCCACGCCTCTCTCCATCTCTTATATCCCACATCCAATCCAAAAGGAAACCCTTGAAATTCTATTTCTGAACTATATGGATATTTGACACTTCTCACTACCTCTACCCAAACCCACACAAGCATGTGTTATTTCAGATTGAAAGCTGGGCTTCCAAATAAATGAGGAAAAACACCTGAAGACATGGAAGACATGATCAAAAGCATGAGGCGAGTTCATCAGCTAAAGCAAACAGGAGGATGGGCTTGACAGGGAGGCAACCATGGGCTCTGGCGTCAGAATCAGGCTTCAGTCCTCCTCCTGCAGCCTGTCAGCGGTGCGCCCTGGGGTGAGTTAGTACCTCTAAACTTCAGTTCTGATAGCTGTAAGTGGAGCTAATGATAAGTGCCCCAGAAGGCAATTCTGAGGATTACAGAAGATACGTTTCAAGTAGGTACTCAATAAATAATAGCTGCTAGGATTATTAATAGGCTATTTAACTAATTTTTCAAGCTAGAAACAAGGGTTACTCTTTCTTTTTAAAAGGAAAAAAAATCCACTTCATTGTAAGTCCACAGGTCAACTTTGAAAGGTCATAGGATAATGTTACAAAGAAAGGGAGGAGGCTAGAATCCTCCCTGACAGATAAGGTCCCCGGGAAGGGACCTCACATGCAGAGTCTGGAAGCAGGTATGGATGCTTGACCTGTGCTCAGTGTGTGATGCACTTTGGGTTGAATGTTCCAGATCTCAGAAGCAACCCTCCTTGGTGGTATGGAGCAGACCAGATGCCCTCTGAGCTCTGTGTGCAGCCACCTGGGTCTGAAGTGAAAGTTTCTTAGAAGCAATATATCTTGGAACAGTGTATAAACTGTTGGAGAACAGCCCACACGCGCTGATTTATGACATCTCACGCAGCAGGCACTTAGGAAATGTGGGGCGATGATGAGGTGGAAAATACAAAACTAAAGGACCTTGTAGGAGTGTAAATATTCATAATCAGCCTCATCTCCTCTCTTTAAGACAAGGTATGCACTACACTGCCAAGGCTGGAGGTTTATCAGTAGTTTTACGCGTGTGAGCAGACCATTTGTTTGATGGGACACTGTGGTTGGACTCTAATCACACTGTCATTTTGTTAGCTCGTTAGGAAATCAATAGTCTTTAGCATGAATCTGCAAGTTAAAGAAAAAAGCCCATGAAATTAAGAGTTATCTCATTGTAAAAATTAAGAGTTATTTCACTGGATGCCATCGTGTGAACCAATGTGTATTTGCTATCAAGTAAATTAAAATGATCCCAACACCACAAATTTCTAGCCCTTGATATGACAAGCTCCATGTCTGAGATGAAGCCTAACGTAGCCTACCTTCTAAACTCCAGCGCTCTCAGTACCCCAGTATTTACCCCACCTCCACCTGCCCTCCCATGCTCTACACTGGAACCTTCCAGAACATTTATGCCCGACTGCGTCTCAGCAACCTTCTGCTCCACAGAACAGTCTCCCACAGCAATGAGATATCGATCCTTCCTTTTTGTTTCACCCAATCCCAAGAGGCCTCTGTTATGATTGGAATCAATACAAAGGTGAATATCCAAGGAACTTCAAATACAGAAAAAGGCATAGCAGCCATGTCATTTAAAGTAATGGGTATTTTTTTTAACAAGTATTCTGAAATATGACTGTTACATATATATCTATTTTTTCTCCTATTTCTGACTACCAAAATAGAAACATTTGGTAAGCAGGCCCATGCAGGGTTCAGAGGTGGGATAACGGGTCCATTGGGCTTAGAGAGGGAGGACCATGGTGCTCTGCTAAGTGGGGAAGTCATTGTATAGCCCATAGTTAACTTGCAGTTTCATCTTTGAAACCCACTCAGCAAATGTCTCACACACATCCTTTCCAAAAACTGAACCAAGAACTTTTCCCCTCATGCATTTTTTATATATTTGACTTTTACCCCAAGCATATAGCATTCCATGATTCTTTTTGGAAATTTTTATCCTTTAAGTTTCTGTCTTTGCAATATTATCCTTCAATGTGATTGCAAGCTACTCACTTAAGCAGCACATATCAAAGACTAGGGAGACCTTGGTCCAGTGAATAAAATGATTGTCTTGTAAATGTGAGGACCTGAGTTCAGATCCTCAGAACCAATGTGAAGTCAAGTACAGAAGCATGTGCCTATAACCCCAGTACTTCTTTCTGAGATGGGGGATGGAGATAGCTCTTGGGCTAGCCTGGGGTAGCCAGCAGCAAACAAGAGACTCTATCTCACGCAAAGTGGAAAGAGAGCCCCCACCCCAAGATTATCCTCTGATCTCCACATATACCCCCTCAGATAAAAAAGAAATATGGGTATAATGTTCTTTTTAATCACTTAAAGCTCAAAATGGAGAAAACCTGCCTTCAATGCATATCTTGAATGCGGGACATGCAGGAAGACCTTGAGATAGGGCTTAACTGCTCACGATGTGATTAGCAATAGGTGGGCAAGCCACTAATTGGACAAAAGGAAATAAAACTGCCATGGAAGAATGAAAAGATAAAGAGAAATAACAGTAATTAGCACTTCATCGTCACAGAAGGGAGTATCGAACTTGAGGCTCGAGGGGACGTGGGGGAATCCCACGGCTGTTAAGGAAACACCAGGCTTGGGTAAATGAGGTTGCACACAAGTCAGGGCCGACAGCAGTGAGATGATCCCACACCAGAGAGAACAGGCTTCAGGGTGGAGAGGAGACCTCAGGTTCAGGGTGCACAACACGCAGAAAGGGACAATACAAGGCCACGTGCTTAAGCTGCTTCAAAATAGCCATGCGGTCACCAAGGACGGCTCATCAAGGACTGGGGACGCTTCCACACTAAATGAGGCTTTCCAGTCGCTGGCCACTTATCATTTCACTTACGAAGCGCATGGTACAGCCACGAAAAATGAATCACGTTCGTTTTCAGAACAACTTACATTCTGCCGCTTGGAATAATCTTGTGTCCCTCTCTAAACCACGTCACTTGCGGTCTGGGGCAGCTGACGATGGGCACTAAGTTTAGAATCGCCGCATGTCCTTGAGAAACTGTTTTCCTCTGGTCTGTATCCATGAAATTCCCCATATCTGCAGAGAAAAATTGGACTTTTAAGTTCCAGAGCGAGCTATTTTTTTGCGGAGGAGTAGGGGTCAGAGAGGGAAATAACTATATTTTACGGTGAAGTTGGTGCCGCCGTCACCACACTTAACAAGGTGACAAGCGAGACTGAATGGCAGTGCTGACAAGTGCAGATGTGGCTGTGAGAGAGGCATTGGCAGAGCCATGTGCCTCTAAAACAGGCACCGGGGCCCTCATCAGCAAGGCCACAGGCTTCTGTCACCCTGCTCTAATATGATGGTGGCTCACAGTAACACTACAAGAAGCTGCTGCTGGAAGGCATCCCAGGCCTCCTGAAGCAGTTTTTACAGTGCTGCAGTGAAATGCTTTCAGACACCTCCCTCCACCTGGGTCTCCTCTCCATCTCTAGGGTGACTGTCTTCCTCACAAGTCTTTGGGAACCAATGTGCTCCAACCATTGGAGAGTTCACAGAGAATTCTTTTATGTACTCCCACACTGATGACATAGTTTGGGGCAGTCAGTCTTTGCTCTGTTGATAAAAACAACTAAAAAAAATGAGGTCACAGTCATTAGACTGTAGACATGAAAGGCCCCCTTTTTAAATTAGCAATTTGACATTTTAAAATAATTTCTATATTGTGATCAGATATAGTCAATATATATACACAGAGCTATTTCCACACCATATTTGTGTATGTTTGTAGTGATGTGTGTGGCAAGTGTGTGGGGGGGAATGAACACATGCAGGTGTGTGTGTGTGCGTGTGCGTGTGCGTGTGCGTGTGCGTGTGTGTGTGTGTGTGTGTGTGTGTAAGTGTGTGTGAATATGGAGGCCAGAAGATGATCAGGTATGTCTTGATTGATCTCCACCTGGTTTTTGGGACATTATCTCTCACTGAACCTGGAGGTTGATAATTGGCTAAATGGGCTGGCCAGCAAGCCTCAGGGATGCTGCTGTATTGACCTCCCCAGCGCTACGGCTGGTTCTGGCATGGTATGTGGGTGCTGGGATCCAAACTCAGCTCCTCATAGGTGTGTAGCAAGCACTTTACTGAATGAGCCACGCCCCTAGCCACCCTATATTCTTTATTTCTTTTGTTTTGTTTTGAGGCAGAGTCTCACTATGTAACCCTGCCTGGCTTGGAAATCACTAAGTAGACCAGGCTGTCCTTGAACTCACAGAGATCTGCCTCCTGTGTGCTGGGATTAAAGGTGTCCACCAACCATGCCTGGCCACCATATATTAGTAATTTTATCTTATTTTAAATTTTTTCATGAAAGAAATGATATAGATTTACCATTAAAAGCTATTTTATTATGTGTCAGGGCATGATATGAAGGCACAAAAGGAAGAGCTATGTAACACCGTAGAAAAATACCCTTGCTTATTTAAAAGTGAAGGTAGTGCTCACAAACTGGAAGGGTGAGAAACAGAGGGTGGGAACAAGGGCATGGGCAACTACACAAAGTCCAAACATCATAAATAACATTTAGTATGCTATAATCAATTCCAGGCTCTTAACTTACTCAGATATGGTTTGGGTATTGATCCACACTCTATTTATTATGTTTTCAATTTTTCAATTGAATAGAAGTTCTGAATTATTCTGTAGACAGCTTTGGGGGTGACTTCATCTTCACAAACCAGAAAGATTGATGTCTTTCTTCCTAGTGGTTTAAACAATAGCCAAACACGTTTAATGCAGGGACCCCCTATCACAGGGAAGGGGCACGCGCATAGGCCAGGTCTCCTGTCCCTAAAGATTTCGTGACAGTCAAGGTCTCTGCCTTTTGATGGTGCCTTCTTTTAAAAGTTACATTCCCCAAAATGGATCTGCAGAATAAAGACTAGATTGCTACATTAATAACAGCTGGGACTTAACTCTCTGTATCCACTGAACAGCAAAATGGCTCCTTAGCAGATCATGGGGAAGAAACAATGAAATCTGACCTTAACTGGGGTCAACTTTTTACTCAAAATATTTTTAATCCCAATACCAACAAGCCAAGAGCAGTTGGTTTATACAGACCACCTTTCTTTCCTCTCCTTCTGCTCCCACAGGTTTGGGAAATCCTTAATCTTTTCAGTTGGAAAAAAGCAACATCTTACTTGGGTTTCCATGTTTGTTTTAGACTTTTTAAGTTATATTTATTTATTTGTATGTTTATGTGAGTGCTTATGCTTACGTTTATATGAGCATGTCTTGCTACAGGATATGTGTGATCGTGTGAAGGTCAGAGGACAACTTGAAAGAGTTCATACCCTCCTTTCACCATGTGGATCCTGGGGATGGAACTCAAGAGGTCATCAGGCTTCATGGCAAGTACCTTTACCCATTGAGATATTTAGCCAGCCCTATACTAATTTTAACCTTAATTCTACTCTATTTATTCATTCATTTATAGGCAGTGTCTCCTGTTGCTCCACCTGGCATTGAACTCACTATGTAGTCAAGGATCATCTTGGACTTCTGATTCTCTTGCCTCTACCTCCCAGTTTAGTACTACAGTTGGAACACAGAGCATTATCCAAGCTAGGCAAACATTCTACCAACTGAATTACATCCCCAGGTCTTGTCACACTATTTTAGAGGAACCAAGGACAAGTTTCTATTGCTGCAACAGGAAGTGCCTCCCCACAGCTGCTGCAACTCCGTTCATCGCTTAAGGCCGGTGCTCACGCTGCACACGTACATGCCACTTGTACTTCTGATTTCCTCTGCAAGAGAGCTCCCATCCTGTTCCGCACCACGCAGCGGTAAAACCCGGCATCCAGCTTCTGTAAAGAGGGGATGATATACCTGCAAAATGCCAAAAAGAAGTGTCAGTGGTCAAGCCTAGATGAGCAAGGGCATCCCTTCCACAAGATGCTCAAGTGATCCATTTCTCTGGTACTCAAGACAGATCCAAGCCCTCTCCAATTGAGACCACTGTGAACTTGCTTCTCCAACACCCCAAATCCAGTGAGGCTGCAAATTGTTCCATGGAGTCAGGACCTCATTCTATCTCCTGCATCAGCACAGTGTCATGCATGAATTAGGCATTACCTTGCTATCGGGGTTTGAATATGTAATGTCCCTATAGGCTCACTTGTCTGAACACTCGGTCCCCAGTTGGTCATGCTGGCTTGGAAGGTTTAGCAACCTTTAAAAGATACAGATTCACTGGAGAAAGTGGGTCATTGGGGAGGTTTTACAGCAGACCATATTTCCTGTTTACCCTTTTTTCTGACTGCCAAAGCAACATAACCAACTGCCTCAAGCTCCTGGTGCCATGCCTTCTCTGCCATGTTGGACTGTATCCCCCTGAACTGTGAGCCACAACAAAACATTCCCTCCCTTAGGCTGTTTCCTGTCAGGTATCTGAGAAATGTTAATAACCAGTGGTCACTGCAATTAAAGTGGGGTTTTCAGTTTAAGAAAATCACTTATTCTCATGCTGCCAAATCTCAGAATTTCTAGAAATAATTTCTGGAACTGTAGACTCCTTCACATGAAGTCCATGTCCCTCCCTCTGTATGAAAGACCACTGCCACCTTCAAGATGAGCTGTGGCTGTCCTTAGGCAAACAGGTCGAGGACCAGGACAGTCCTGTCTTCACCCCAGTGTGGCTATCTCTTGGTATAATGCATGCGCCTCAAGATTTCCTCTTCCATGTGCCTGATACTGACAACAACTTTGTTTTTTCAGATTACAGAAAAAGTCTCAGACGTAATAATTTACCCGTGTAATAATGATTGATTCTAGTTTCTGCTCCCAGGGCTATAATAATCCCTCACACCCCACACCTCTCTAAAGCCTCATCAGCTTCAAAGGACAGTGAGAAAGAGACAATGATTCTATAACCATCCTGCTGTAAGTATAGCATTAGTTTTATGAGTTGGGATGTTTGAAATCCATGTCTGAAGCAAGGAGGAATATAGTTAATGATCACTGGATAGAATTCAATTGATTCTGAACCCAGACCTGAGATGGTATGTAGCTGGATTGTAGACCATGTTCATAAATAAATCAAGAACAAGAGTTGCATAAACTGATACAGGATTAATATTCAAAATATCTATGGAGCTCCTTAAAACTGAGCAGGCCTAGATACTCCTGTGAAGAAGAAGGCGGCAGATGACCAAGGGGTTTGCAAGAAGGAATGTGGTGCACCCATAGTACTCCGAACATTCACAGTACTCAGAGAATTCATAGTACTCAGCACATTCACAATATTCAGTGCATTCACAGTACTCAGAGCATTCACAGTACTTAGAGCATCCACAGTGCTCAGCATATTCACAATACTCAGCACATTCACAGTGCTCAGAGTATTCATAGTACTCAGAGCATTCAAAGTACAGAGCATTCACTGTAAGGGAAATGCAAACCCCAACCATGCTAAGACAGCACCTCCCAGCTCCTAAGAAACCTAAGAACTATGCTAAAGACAGAGAGATGGAATGTCTTTGTCCAGTGCTGCTGGGCATGTAAACTGAGACAATACTACAGGATGAGTGTTCTTTGCAAAATTAAAAATGGAACTATTATAGACTCAACCCCGCTTCTCTGAAAGAGAACAGAAATCAAGAACACGAAGACACCTGAACCCCACATTCACCGAAGCTCCACAGCACTCAAGCTCTGGAAAGAACCCGAGAATCTGTCGGCTCAGGAACAGATGGAACATGGTATATGCACAAAAGAGAATACTATATAGACTTAAACCGAGAAAGTCAGGTTTCCCCCAAGAACACGATGAGCCTGGCAGACATTATGCTCACTCGAACAAGCCAGTCAGAGGAGGAGAAATATAGCACGCAAGGGTGACCACAGGGGGATGAGGCAGCACCAACAAAAACCAATCATTAATTAGATAAAATGAAAACGTTGTAGCAATGTACTGTGAGGCATAGAGGACACAACTAAGAATATGGTACTATGTAGTTAAGGTTGACCAAGAGACTATCTAGCATTCTTTGAAAATGTTTTAAATTCTGTTTATTATCAATGTGGGTGTGCATGATGTGTTGGGGATATGCATGCCACAGTGCGCATGTGTAGGTCAAAGGACAACACTGTGGAGCATGTTCCCTCCTTCTACCTTTACATGGGCTTCAGCCATCAAATTCCAGTCAAAAAGCTTGCATGGCAAAGAACTTTCACCTGCTGAGCCATCTTGCCAGCCCTCCATGTTCTTATTATAAAAACAGTGTGGAGAAGACAGGATGGGGGCAAAGGCTTGCAAAGGATGAAGAGGAAGTTGTGGCAGTGGTGTCAGGGTATGCGCTTAGCTCTAAACTCACGGGCTGTGTACACTACACATAGACAATGAGTTATATGCCTACTATATCATATTAAAATAGGACACATTGGTTGAGGAGATGGTTTAGCATTGCAAGCAAGAAGACTAGAGTTCACATCCCCAGAGCCACCAACAAGTTGCACACACCTACAACACCAGTGCTTAGCATGCTGTGCAAATATGAGAACCTGAGTTCACATCCCCAGAGCCACCAACAAGTCTGTGCATGGTTGCACACACCAACAGCCCCAGTGTTAAGAGAGAGCAGAGACAAGAGGATTGCTACAGCTTTCTGGCCACAGACTTAGGTCCACAGTCAACGAGAGACCTTGTTTCAAGGAAATAAGGAGGGAAAGAGAGTGACAGAGCAGGGTATCTTACCCTGGCCTCCAAGTGCACTCACATTTGTACATATGCATACACAAAACTAATTCAAATAAAATATATGGATAGGTAGTATTGCTGGGTGGTGAGTGTTCACTTATAATGTCCAAGGCCCTACCCAAAAGGATTAAGTGAATAAAACATTACAATGTTCACATTGTAATAGAACAAAGAAAATTATCATTCGGAATGAAGAAAAAAAAAAGAAGTAAGACTTGACACCTGGATTCCTTCCACACTGGGAAAGGGGTGGGTCATGAAAGGCTGTGTATACACAAACTCTCTAATATCTGAAAAACACAGCGGCGTTCTCCCTTAACAGAAGTGATGTTCCGGCTGTGGCTGTCTAATCTTCTGAAGACATGTCTTCTTACAAAGTGTAATCAGAGAGACTTAAAACAACTCAGGCAAAGACAGAGTGTTAGTGTGTTCTATTTGCTCGGTACCAAGTAGACCTGGAAGCATTGATATTCAACTAATCGCTCATCTCTTTTATTCAAGTATGTCCAATTAGTCACCCTGGAAAAGGGAACCCAGAGGAATAATTTTAAGTGAATAAAACACTTGGACAATACAGGCAATTCAGCAGTAAGCAAATATTAATCAAAGTGAGTCTCCCTCTGATAACCTTGCAGCGGTCCTATGGCAGGACTCATAAAATCTTTTATGATAAGAAAAAAAAACATTGCTGAACATTAATCTTAAAAATTCTGTTCTATTATGAGGAACAGTTCATCCCAAACAAAATTAATTAGTGAAGACAATCAGAATATACCAAACCGAGCACAAAGAGTCAATGCTGTGTATTTAAATTACAAATCAGACTGAAAGGCTGCACGCTTTGATTGTTGTGTACTGTAATTACAGGAACAAGGGGTGCTGAGATCAGGTTAACGCAAAATCAACAGAAGTTTTTAGAGGAGTATGAGGACAGGTCATCGGAGCACAGCTCTGGAGAGCTGCAAGGACAACTCGATCATGGCGACATAACCATATTTACATAACCGTTACCCATTCTACTTTTTTCCCCTCTTCTTAAGTATCTTGCATAGATGTAAAATTCTTATGAATTTCTACAATAATCTTATATGCTAATGCACAAAAATAGCATTGCTTTCAAACAACAGGAAGCAGCAGATAGGAAAGTGAGTATTAGACATATGCTGCTGTGTGCCGTCTCTGAGGATAATGTCGCACCAGGGGAAAATCTACAAAAACGTTGTGAAGTCCTCCACCTCTTACCAGAATTCCTGCACAAATTATGCTCACCTAACAGATGGGAGTGTTCGTTGTAAGCCTATTGTTTATAAACACACATTTTTAAGCAGAGAAAGTTTCCTGGCTCATTGTAAGAAGGTATGATAAAAATCGTGGTACCATATGCTGCTCAAGCACAGGCAATGCTTGATCCTGGCTCCAGTCAACACTGAGCCAAGGTATGACCACACCACACCAAAGTGGGGTTCTGCTAGACCAGCACAGCACTCCAGGACAATAGAACGCCAGATCCCACCAAAGCCAGGGATGGCAGGGCCATGTGTGCTGGAGATAGCACCTCAGCCATGAATGCTACTCTGAGCATGCAGCAGAACCACTCAACGCTTTCTCTAGAAAGCATCTTCAGATCATCCCCACCCAGCAGTAAATGCCTAGCTAGGCCAGGATGGGAAACTGATACCGAGTCTGCTAGGATCTGAACTTCCTCCACTTTTTTGGACACTACTCTAGGAGCATGTCTCAAAGAACAAAAGACCATACTGGCTACTCTTAGGCTCGCTCCAGGGTACAGAGTCATCACACAGCCAGGTCAACACTGCTGCTGGGACCTGGTGCTGCACAAGAACTGGCCTGAGAACCAAAAGGTGAGGTGAGAAACATGGCAGTGGTTGGACACGATGGTGACTGGACATGGTAGTTGTGGTAAGACAGTGGAAATAGGACATGGGGATGCAGCAATATGGTGGTGGAATATGGTGGTGACGGGACCTGGAAGGGTGGGGTACAGCAATGGTAGGATGCTGAAATGGTGGAGACACGGTGTTGGAGGTGATGGTGGTGGAGCCATGGTAGAGGCAGTGGCACAGCAGTGGTGATGACACAACAGTGGTAGTGGGACAGGTGTGGCTGTGGC